ACAATGAATGCGAACTATATACAAGATCGAAATTCCTCCGAATAGTTTAGGGACAGAGGGACGGACGCACGGAGAGGCTCAGATAATTTAAGGCGTGTAATCAATATTGCAAATGTAGAATTCCATTAAGAACAAGAGAAGAAATTCTACATCATCTTCGTCGCTCTTTTTGACACTCACTTGTGATTGGCTTTGATATAGCAAACTATTACGATTGACAACAAATGACAATAAATACCTGCGAATGGAATCTTGAAGTATGCTACTTATGGCGGCTTTTTACGCACCCTGAGATTACATGCGTCAAGTCCACAACGTCTTTGTGTATTAGAAAACAAAAAATAGGAAATAGGGCACTTTCCATTTGCGGCAGCACGAACGTAACATCATCATCGAATGTGTTCAACTATTCAGAAAAACATTTTCGGATCAATTTGACTAATTTCGATTCACCTCAAGTAAAGAACCTTAACTTTCGTTTAAGCGTAAAAGTTATTTTCATTAATAATTTATAAAAATGCACACACACATATGTGTTCCCTTTTTTATCGACATATTTCCCAATTTTAATAACAATTTAACTTAGCTTTATAAGGGTGAGTGTGTGTTTAGAAAAGCAAACGTAAATAAAATGTATGTAAATCGTTGTTTTTTTTTTTTTTTTTTCCTTTTCTATTTTTATTTTTTCTATAAATTTTTCACTCTCTCGTAAAGCATATGAAACGATTACATAGTAACTTTGGGTGTGTTTTCTTGAAAAGGTGTACAAAAAGAATAACATGTTAATGTGTATTAAATCAGAAATCTGCTTTGAGGATATTTTCGTTTTAAACACAAAGCCCGCACAAATTTGCTTCCATACATAAGCACATAAGCAAGTAAGTACAGGCAAACATGTACGCACATGACGACGAGAAGGCTTAGAAAAGCAAATGGAAATAAACTAATAGATTGGCATACGGTTGAAAAGCACGTACAATCATATGTATTGGTAGAGATGTTTACTTACTTATACATGTACATTTATATGGCTGTGTAAAATGTTGAAATTAAATTTTCATTTCTTAATTCATTTAAGTAAAATTTATTTACCATTCAATTTCTCTAAGAGATTAAAGGGCCTCAACTGCTGCGCAATCCAATTATGCTCGTCGAAGTGAGGTAGGCAAGTACACACAAGAGCAGGGTATAAAGAATGCATGAAGCAATTTAGTAAACATTTGATTTTGATAAGTAGTTCACTCTCATATATATATATATATGTTGGCGACTTGGCCTATTGCCAAAATTACCATCATCTCTAGCTTGGATCATTTGAAAATTCCTGTCAACATTTGTTACACTAAGCAAGAAGCAGGAATTTTAATTAATTTTTAACCTTAATTAAATGATAGACATTGACACATACAGATATTGTGCATATAAAAAGTAATTGCAAAGTCGCTTATAAAGGATGCTGCAGCTAGTTCTAAAGTATTATTCAATTTATACAAATGACTTGTCACACATTTTATATTGTTGCGTTGCATTGCAGCGTTCATACAATGATAAAATATCAGTAAAATCTTTTTTTTGAAGCTAATAATATAACGCCGCAACACATGTATGAGAATTTGAAAATAAACATATACGGGTTTCGTGAACATTAACTAATCCGCCCAAATTCCGCATTAGAACAATAATTTTCTGTAGCTAATGTTATTGTTATTATGTTTCCTTTTTTTTTTTTTTTTTGTTATCTGCTTTCATTTATATGACGGCTGATGGTGGTCTTTTTACTATTTGAACATTATTATGCTTAATCTCTCCCATGACTATTACTAATTAGTTTAATTAATATCTAATGTCGTGTACTGCATGTATGTACTACACAATGCTTGTGCGTCTACATTGGTTGCGCGCATATGGCTTGTAAGGATGTGCATTAGGATAGAGCGTTATCGGAGGCGTTCAAATACAGCGGGTTTATGGAATGATGGCAAGGCTAACTAAGCAGCTTGAATAGTTTTTTCGGACGGTGATTCCGAGCACAGTGTTCAGTTTCTCAACATTTTTTCTGGTTTTCTTTTTTGATTGTAATATGATCAATCATTCATAGAATGTCCACACAGTAACAGCCGGAAGCAAGCGAGGAAAAAGAACGAGGCAAGCAAATGGCCGAATCTTAGCAGACGTGTGTCCAATCAGTCAGTGTTACGCTTGTATCGACCCAAGTATGGTCAAACTGTGCCGGGATTACGATTCGCGAACATTCTCTCTGTAGTCCCGATTCTTATCCACTGAGCTACTCATTCGTGTCAGAATTGTATTAATTTTGTTATTCGGTTTCCAACAACTTTAGTTCATGTCCCGTTTTCATGTCTGCTTTTTCCCTCTACTCTCCTGTCGGCTGGCTCTCTTTCCGTTATTCTGGTCAATTTCTCTTGTTATCTAATTTACTTGACTATAGGCTTTCGTCCGTTGATCTACCTTTCGCTGAATCTGCGTAGCCATGTGTGATTGTTCGTTCGTCTGCTTCTTGATCCGTTTGTTTGTCTTTCCAACTATCCTGATATGGTTGATCGACACTGTAATTTCGTTTATTCTTCTCTTTAGCCTTCCCTCTGTTCACGCACGTATATTCTTTTTCTGTTCGGATTGGCAATTAAGCGTACCACAGGGCAGTGCAACGAAAGAAATTTGCAAGTAAATGTAACTCTTGCATAAATGCCCCTAATGTATCGTCTCTAACGAAAAATCCATATTATTTTTAAAAAGTGTCAACTTCCAAATGAGGGTCTTCTAAATTTCACGCCCTTTCGATTGTTTTTTTACAAGTTCAAATAGGGTTAGGCATTGTGCTTTTCTTATTTTCGAAACTCGGAAGTTCTTTAAACACTGCTTTTCCGTCGAAGACAGGAAACTTTCGGTGATTTGCTACTTGAAGTAAAAGTTTTTAGGCGCCGAAAATTATTCTTCATAGCCAAAAAAGTTAAGGCCCAATAGCTGGCTAAACTAATCTTAAAGATATCACAGGGCAGTATATTCACTGTCTTGGATGGAAATTTCTAGACAGTAGGAGTCTTTTCCTAATAGATACCTTGTTTATTGTTGAACATATTACTGAGAACAAAATGGTATGAATTGAAGTTTGTGTTACTGCCCCATAGAGAAAATTTTCCGGATCTGGCTTCCACACTGTGGATGTGGCCACATATTATCTATTTGCAAACATCAAAATCATGCTTGAGGGAAAAGACTTAGATCAAATGGCGAAATCATTACATTGGTAATCTTGATAAATTATTCTACAACCAGTTATGGCAATCACGACAAAGTCATCGAAATGTTGAAGATGTGTTAGAAGATGACTATGTATTGACGGCAAATGTCATTTTGTAAACGAGGATTTTTACGTTGTGATGGAACATACTGACCGCTGCCGCCGTTTATTAACCCTCAACAAGTTACGCCAAATATCATAAGTATTAATTGATATCCAATTTAATTAAGAAAAGTCTCGAATTTTTTCCTCGAAAATTGTTAACTACCAGTACATTATAGAACAATAGCATGTTTACTCTATTTTCGATTTATTTTCTCGCATAATTAATTTTATTATCAGTTGCTCATAATTAATATATTCTGTGGACATAATTAAATGTGTAAAAGGGTAATAATTTTGAAAATTGAAACCGATAATTAATTTAAGGTAAATGTAAACTGTTGATCATCATTTCGAATTTTACGTTAATTAGTTCAACAGCGAAATGCATTTACCTTTAAACGTAAGAGTAAAGCTTCGAATTGCATTTCAATTTAAAATTCCACTTTTTTTGTTTCAATAGTTTATTCTTGTAAAATCTTTTGTGGCAACAACAAAAAAATGTATATTACAGTATAACTTTTCAACTATAAATAAATGTATGATAAATATATTAGTCAATCCTGTGATAAAAGACTTATAAAATTAGTAGAATAACAGAATGTCATGCAACAAAAATTTTTAGAAAAAAAAAGGAAATGCACAAAGGCAAAGATATAAATGATTTATATTTTTCAATTTAACCTCCCCTTCCCTGTCAAATGCCTCAGCACACTTTTTTATCTCATCTTTCTTTTCCAAATATTTCTTCTTAATACTGTTCGTTTGTTATGTTGCACTCAAGTATAAAAACACGTTCCATTGTATACGTATTCCGTATGAAATAGTTTGTGACATTAACCTGCAAAACGTACTACTTAACCACGTAAAGTTTTCTTTTTTCTTTTTTATATTTCATATTCAAACCAAACTGACATTTGGACAGTTTTAAGAGCATTTATGTCAGTTGCTTAAAAAAACCAAAAAAACCAAAAAAAAAAAAAAAAAAATAAACCAAACTATGGATTCGTGAGAATATGAATATACTTTTGCATTAAATTTTTTGCGTAACCAAAAATACAAATGGTAAAGAAGAAGCATGTAAAGGACACGTATCTATATATGCACAGATATGAAGAAGGCCTTAAAACTATATGACAGCATAAATGACTTACTTTTTTAATATGGAAAATGTTCAAGGCATAAGCTAAAATCATATACTTAGCATAAAATATCTGAAGAAGAGCACTGTACCTGGTTGCAACATGCGCACGTACAAGGGATATGATTGCAGTGTCATAAGATGATCATAACATAAAAAAATTATTATCATAAAATTTTTATTTCTTATTCTCAGTACTATAGGACATAATTGTGCTGGCAGAAAATGGATAGACAGGCAGCTGGACATACAGGCAGACAGATGTTCTACAAAACAAACGGACCCACGGACACAGAGTTAACAGACAGATGTCTAAATATTTATTCAGTGGCATAAATAGGGAGAGAGGATTAAACAGACCAGCAGACGGATGAACAATTAGGTATCCAGGACAAAACTATGGACAGAAAAGTAAGTGGGTAAAAAATATTCGGGCTAAGCAGGGAAAGGGGAAGACAAATAATACAAATTCAACAAACACGGCAGTGTACTTACGTATTTATCCCAAGCTTAAACGTATTCTAGAAGCCGATAATCATAGCCAAAGTGTGCGGCCTAGAACGAAAATAACGGGCGATTTTAGTTCCTTGAAAATGGAGCAAATAGTTTCGATTGTTGCACAAGCAGATCTACGGGAAGGTGAATTGACATATAGCGAGAAGGACAAATAAAAAAAAGCAATCAGTAGGTAAACAGGACTTGTTGTCACCCATTGCTGGCTGCTTGAGTTATAAAAAATGGGACGGCTAAAGGCCGAATTATTGCCTTGTAGTGCTATTTTTTTTTTTATTTTTTTTTTATTCCTCATCTGATGGGTATAGAAATACATTGATAAATCGCAAACTATTGGCGATTGGATTGATGCGAAAATGGTGAACATTTCCGCAACAAGCAGGAGGACAAATTTTTAAAAATTTTTGCCCAAAAGAGCAGCAAAAATCACTCCGCCTAGAATTTAGCTCGTAAGCAATCTAATCATTGCTTCCTACTAAAGTAAATATATTATTAAACAAAGTACTTGCAGTATACAAAAATTAAAATATTGATTTGCTGAAAGTATACGTATTGCCGAAATCTTCAATTGCTCTCCACATTCATAAATTATAAAAAAAAAAAATATTTGTTTTACTTATTTATATATGAATAAGAGTATGTAAAATTATTGCTCTTGCTAGTAATTAATACTAAGCCTATTAAATGGTTTCAATTTTGAAAACCTAAAAATTAGATTTCAGTATCTGTAGAACTACATATGTGTAACATACTTATACATACCCTAAAAGTATTAATTAATTCGGGTATAAGGAATTTCTTTTCCCAGCCGCCGCATATCGATAAAAACCGTCGCAAGGATCAACAGATGCATAAATTGCTTTTAACATATAAGATGCTGCTCGCACACATTCACCCTTAAGGCAGTTTCCTGTATCCTAACAGTGGGCAGCAGCATAATTGATGACCAAAGTACTGAATTCAGCACCAGGTAATCAGCATATAATACTTGAAGCCGAATATTTGGCTTTGGATGTAATCTATTTTTTCGATGGTTTTCACCGCCAGAGTGATCTGTACGCACCGAAGGAGTCTCTCTCGCGTTACCATATCTAACTCTAAGGGATGATTTTTTCATACGTTTAAGTGGAACTTTGCAACCATTTGCCTCTTTTTTTTTTTAATGTGTATTTGACACACACACAAATTGTAAGGAATTAAATTTCAAAGAATTATTTATTTATTTTTATCAAAATGAAATGCAAATTGAATGCGAAAGGTACAAGAGCATCAAATTCACAATCGCACTAATAAAGTAACGGCACTGTACACTCACACTTGAAAACACGATACGAACAACGGAGTTGTTTGACATACAAATTGAAAGTTGTTACATTGGTGGGAAAATGAATATTGAAAAAGCCGTTATCAAAAACTGGCTCAAGTTTCTAGCGATACACGCTCTCTAAGGACGAACTTGAAGGAATAGATGATGGCCAGAGCCACACGTTATTCATAAAAACTGCTGTCCATAGCAATCGAGAGAGACAAGGTAATAATCAATAAAAAGTTTTTTCTAAAATTTTAAGTATGTCGAGTGGTGCAGTTGTGTGCGCGTATGTGTGCGGTGATGGCAAAAATCTCTCTTAAAATTCCTAATAAAATTGTAACGAACTTTGAAGAATTTCTTTTCACACTTTTCTACTTACGCATATTAACACATACCAGAAAAACAAGAAAAGGAAAGACATTTAGCTTTCGCTTTAAATAATTTTGGTACTGCGGATAACGCAGATAGCATCACTTAATGTTAAACTATAAACTTTGCTTTTTCGTAGTCATTTTATATGTAATCAATAACAATGACGTTGGATTTAATTATCAATAAATTGAGTTGATTAATGCGAACAGATTTTATTGGCAGTAATTTAATCATAAACAGGATAATAATCACAAGCATCAGCAACGCCATTATTCATGTAACGACGTAAAAGATAGTAATAAAACAAGTTATGAAAATATCGGTGATTTTGTTTTAAGTTTTTTTGCGTTAGTAGTCAATGAATTTTTACGATATTTCTTCGCAACTATCTTTGTGAGAAGCTTTGATTTTTATCGATACTGAATTTATTAAATCGAGCCTTGTGTAATATACTTTAACTTTGAAATAAATAAATTAAAATCACTTTATCTTGATTGTCATCTTGAGTTCTTTCTTATTGCTTTGGGTTCCTCTTATTCTAAATTTGCTTCTTACATAGCGAATAAAGCAACCATTAGTTCATGTTACATCATTAAAGTGAAGGTCATTAGGTTACGCCATCATGAGCATCAATACCATGAAAGAGCCTGCAAACCTTTTATTATTCCGCTTTTCCAGTCTCTTCCAAACTGTTCCTCAATTTCGTTGATATAATCATACAAGTGTGATTGTGGTAGTTGAAGAATTTCTATTATTTGAGGGATTTAAATGCAAACTTGATTAGCGACGACACTATTCCTGTAAAACTGGTATTGCTTTCATTTCAAACACGAACGCTAATGGCATGAAAGTGTTTTATGCTCATTCACTTAACACTTCGTAATGGTAAAACTTTCTGAATGCTTTAAATAGTTACTTTTCAACATTAGTATACCAACAAATGCTTTTGGAAGAAAAATTTTGTGGGAAGTTAAGCAGAATTGCGTTAAGAACTTCAATTTTATCAGAGATTTTTCATATACGAGAACCAAAGTTGTTTACCCGGTTCGGTCGGTCTCCCACCCACTCTTATTTTCTCTGTTTCGAATTAGTCGCAGTCTAAGTGCTATTATGAATTGTTAATCTCTTTACTAACTACAGTGGTTTCGGATCAAACTGTTGCTTGCACTTTCTCACTATTTGCGAAGTACAACGTCATTGAAATCTGCTCTACGGGACATCTTAAAGGCCTGGATTTTTATAAGATATTTTTGATTGACTTGTCTGCACATAGCGGGCAATATTGTTATCGGATTTTCGTGTTCAAAGCGGGAACAGTTTAAGAATTGTGCCCATAAATACGATCCTTTGTGTGTTTCCACAAAAAAATTCGTGTGATGAGAACTCCACGATTATTTCGACCAATACAAATCACCAAAACATGAAAGTGCCCGTCCGTGCAAAGCATGTTGTGTTGTGGCTTGTGGCACCGTCCTGTTGTAACCGCATATCTACAGCATCTATATTTCCAATTTCATGCACAAGCAAGTTAGTAATCATGTAGCTATTCCAATCAGAATTTGTGCCCCACTCTTGTCCTTTACATTGACTTTTTGGAAATGCAAGAGTTTTTCGGCACTTACTTTCGGATTTTCACTGGCCCAGACACAATAATTTTGTTCCTTGGCATATCCATCAAATGAAATATTAGCGTGATCATCAACGCGCTATCACTGCAGAAAATTCGATGCGAGAATGCGTCATCCAAACACTGTTCTCTGAGCACACATTCAACGTAGCTTCAGTACTTGATGAAGATGCAAATTCAAATGCAAAGTGCGCCGTAATGTGTCGTAACTTATGGGCAACGGTGTGCGCGAATATTTTCGGACAAGCGTGCGTTTCCACGATGCCTATTATATGTTTCAAGTAGAGAAGGGAGAAGTGGAAAAGGAGAGCGTTATGTCAGTTGAATTGCTTCGAATGTGATCTTTAACCGATCGTCAACGACAATCGCGTTTCAACAGCGGTATAAAGGAAGAGAAAATTTTGCATACTCTTAATAGTAAGAAAATAATAGTGATGACACGAATTGGAAGAAGAGCCGCAGAAGATCCTATCTTGGGAAAACCGATCTACACCTAAATTCATTTCTAATTCCCATGTAACAGAAACCTTTGAGGTTTTGTGGAATGGAGGATAAGAAATCACTTCGTCGATTAAAACAATTAAATGCCACAGTACTTGTAAAGTACTTTCCGCTAAGAAAGAATTTAATTCTTATCACTTATTGAAGAAAGAAAATCAGACCATACGGTCATTGTTATGCATACGGGACGATTAACATTCACATTCACCTTATCTTGCTTACCTAAACTATATTTTCGCGTTTGAAAGGATTTCGAACACAAGATTTGTGAGAAATGTGTTTTTTTTTTGCTCTTTACAAAACTTATTGTGTATACCTGTTTGGAAGAGATTTCACCGCTTACATGAATCACTGCTAAATAAGTCGCATGTGCCGTGTTCTTCGTTTCCTTTCTAGAATGCTTTCTGCTTATTTTCAATTTTCCTTTGCATACACAAACTTACTTAGTCTTATAACTAAACTTATCAAAATTTCCATAATTTACATAATATGCATGCAGCACATACAGTTTCTCCTCCTCTCTCCCTCCTGCACATGCGTCCACCGAGTGTTACCAAGTTACGATATTAAATTATTTTCAAGAAGAAAAAAAAATTCATTTAAATTTTTTATTTCCTTTTTTATTCTTCCAAATCCATATTATCGTATTTTCGTTTACGTATAATTCAGGTTGCTTAAGAATATTAGCACTAGATTGCAAGGTTAACGCAATTGTTCGTGTTAATCATATGCAATCATGCTCATGAACATTTTGATTTACAGCACCTTCAGGCATAAAATGTCGCACAAATGTTTGAATTTTAAATATTGCAACGACAAACGTGATGCTTGTTTAACTTAGATGTGGATGCTGGTGTCGATGTCGCACAACACATTGCGTCAGAATATTCTTACCCGCAAGCAAATAAAATAAAATGAAAATAAAAAATTTTATGGAAATTTGATGAAATTGTTCCGTTTACAATTTGTGCATGAAAAATTTCTATGAATGCTCCTGCAGTTGTGTATTTTATTCTTTATTTATTTCAATGCATTCATGTTCTTTCAATTTTATTTTTGTTCGTAATGAAATTAAATTTCAAGGAACAAGAAAAATCTGAAGAAAGCAAAGAATTAAGGATTCTTTTGCATGTAGCTTAAGTCCAGTTTTCTCACAGCAACAAGTAGGCACGCATCGTGAGTTGAAAATCACTTGTAAACCTGCCTTGAAGAATACGATAAGTGAGTTAAGAC